ACCGAAATGCATCACATATGAAGCCAATATTGGCTTTATAGATAAGAAATAGGAAGCAGAACAGAAACAGTTGTAAATCCAGTCAAGTAATGTCGTCAAGCTGCAGGGAACTGTATTTTGTATATGTGTGCGATCCATTACAAGTAAAATCTACCGATGGCTTCAGGTATTTTTTATTAATTAAAGATAACTACTCTCATTTTTGTTTTGTTTATTTCTTGAAGGCGATATCAAAAGCTGCAAATACCATTATAAATTTTTTAATGCAAGTGAAGAAAGTTGATCAACAAAATATAAAGCTAATGATAATGGTCTAAAATTTATTAATGATGAATTGCTGAATATATTTGCACAGTTTTGTGTAAACCATAAACGGACAATGCCGTACACTCCGTAACATAATGACTCTACTGAACGTGAAGTGCGTAATGGAGCTAGGGCGCACAATGGTTTATGCTAATGACAAGGATTTGAAATTGCTAAAAAGTCAAATATTGCTTTTGCTATATCCACCGTAAGTCGATACCTTGAAAAGCCAGCAACAGTGCACATTAATGCCGTAAAAATAATAATCAAATATCTAAATGATACGACTGGCACAGGAATCTACTACAAGAGTAACAGCAAACTTGATCTGTGCGGTTATAGTGATACTGACTATGTAGGTGATATGCAAACTCGAAGATCTACTTCAGATTTCGTTTTTATGGTAGATAAAGGTATAATAATCTGGTGTTCTGAACGCCAGAAATGCGTTTCGTGATCAACAACTGAGGCAGAATATATTGCAGCAGCTAGCGCAGCAAAGGAATTAATATGGCTCAACCGTGTTTGGTCTGATCTTGGTCGTCCATAGCTGGTGGAGTTCTGCAATGATAACTAAACTGTTATTCAACCAGTAAAAAATTATGAATATCACAAAAGTACAAAGCATATTGATGTGCATTACTATTTTATAAGGAATGCTTTCGAATTAAAATACATGGCATCTGACGATCATATTGCAGAACCACTTCCAAAAGGAATATTTGTATTTTTCAGAGATCAGATTGGTTTAGACACGTATATTTATTTATTTTTGATTGAAATATTATACCATAGTACCATTGAATTATTGAATTTTATAAACCCCTTATTATATACTAGGATATACATAGCATAGTTTTAGTGAGCATATGTTTATTTAAGTAAACAGCTACTTCGTTAAGTAGCTGAGGTTAAGACCTCAGCTTGATAAATACTGCTGCAGACACTTCAAATGAACATTCTCCATATATATATCCATATATATATATTTCTATATACTTTTATATACATTTTATTTAATTAGTTTTATTCGTAGTTCCTTAAATTATCACAATGGGGAGTAGCAGATAGACAGCGATGAAGACCATTATTTTCAACGTGAAGAAGATTAATAATATTAATTTATAAAAAGAGAATAAATTTTAAAAATTGTATGTATCTTAGTTATATATTATTCAATTAGTTTTTTTTTTCATAATATCTTTTATTTTGCACAAATTATAAAAAAGTTATCTTAAGTGCTAGAAATCCTATAAATATTTTTTTGAAATCTGAGTAATTCCTCACCTTTTATAATAAATTGGATATCGGTAGGAATTGAAGTTTGTTTATTTAAGAATCATCAAATTTTAATTAAAAAAAAATAATTAAATAAAATAAAAGATCAATTTTTTTTTTAAATTGTTTATGTTTATGTTTATTTAACAAAACGTAAACAACAGTCAATTTATTTTGAGTCAATTTTATAATGTTATATACGAGTATATTTGCTAGGCTGCTTAAGTTCTAATAAACTCATTGAATCTAATAAATATATGTATATAAATTGTTCCATATATCTGGTATTTTGTATATTCTTAGTTACATACATAAGTGTCACTTTTAATAGAACAAAGTTCTGCTTGAGTTTCAGTTCTTTAACTTTCTGGTAATTGTTTAATAAATGCATATTATTTGTGGTGCAGAATACTGGACAGAAAGTTTTTTTGGGTTTGCCGAATCCCCAACACCTTGGTCAAAGACAATTTTGTAACAAATTACATATACTATTACTTATGATATACGTTTTTACAGATATATTTGTAAATATGTTTTTCAATTTTCGTTCGTAATACATCAATTGATATAATGAATTTATTTGAGGTGGCTTTTGAGTTATACATGATGGAGTCAATAATTTTTATATATACTAAAACTTTACCTGTTGATATTAATAAAGGAATAAAACATAAAATATATTTGAATACGATATCTGAACAATTTTATAAATAATTAACTTGTTTTTGCATCGGTTTATCACTATATATAAAATTTGGACTAAGTACCATAATCTGGAATCATAACTAAGTACTAAAGATTAATGTGAATGTATAGGCTAATGAAAGATTGAATTTGTACTGGAACGATTTAATGATAATGGTATAAAAATTAAGATTATATATGTAGAAATTTTTCTATTCGCTTAATAAGTTTTACAATATACTTTGCGATTAAAAAAATTGAGTTCTATTGTGATAAATGGTGTTTTTAAATTCAAGCGGACAGATGTACTTCTGACAATCGTTTCCAAATATCTTCAATTAGGAATAATTTTGAAATACAATATAATCTTAAATATAAACCTGCAGCAAGAAACATGTTAGCAATAAATCCCAACTAGATACATTTTTTTCAAAAACATAAAATATCTTTGGATTCAAAGTTGAAAATGTATAGTCATCATAAGTTACTCTGTTTAAGTTTAAAGGTGATATATGTTAGGTAATTGAGAGAAATTTATTTTGAGCTATACATTTTAACTATATCGATTATATTTTTCATATGAAGTGTGAAGATGACAATTTGATTGACACAGAATATACCCAATCTACTACTTCATACTCTATAGAACCATTATATAAAGAACGTTTAAAATAATCTCTGCGCAAATATAGCCGAGACCGGCGATTTGTGTAGTCGTAAGATACAGCCAAAGGCAAAATCGGTGATAATATGACTCATTTCATCACACAACAAGTAATAGAGATATAATAATAATATAATATAACTTATTTCATCACACACAAGTAACATAGATTTTTTAAAGAAATGTTAATAAAACTTCTATTAATTAAATGATATATTTTTTATCAAGGATAGTTGAAAATGCACGTAAAGATTTATTTTTTATTTAAAAGATTATAAAGAGGTTTTTCGAACAGTTGTGAACTATGTTATAACAAAAACTCTTTTTATATTATTTTATTTAATTAAATTTTAGGCTCACCACAGACATCTCATCAGTGGTCTTGGAAATAATTCTTGTATTCAAATGTTCGTAAAAAACTTTTTGAGACTACAAGTACCAGGAATCGAACTCGTGTCCTGCCAAATTTGAAGCTCAGAGTCAGCGCTCCTTAACCAACTGACACAAAGCTGTACTTGACTTTTATATTCACACATTTTTCTGGAGTTTTATTAATTTGCTGAGAAAGTTTTATTTTACTTGTTGTGTTTATATTAGAATGAAATCATAAACCAGCTGTAGAATTATTGAATTAATTAATTATATTTTTTATTTTTAATTATTAAATTTCAATACTATTCTGTTTGTAGAGGCATTATTTGTTGCATGATTTATATATTCTTTCTTATGTATAGAACCTAATCTAGGTAATACTGAGAAAGTCATGCTAATGTTACTCCACGAGTCGCACGGGCAAGACCAGTGTTTTGTGAATATAAGTTGTAATGTAACGCCAAATTCTTCAGATGGAAGATTATATAAAAATAATTTTAAAATTATCGATATATTTCTTATACAAAACTTAAATGTTTTGCATTAAATATAATGATTAGTTAAATTTAATTATTTAATGACTTTATATGTAGGTTACGACTTAGTTCAAAATAGCCATATGTTGCACCATAGATAATTTATAACAGATCAGAAATACAATACATCTTCATTAGTACTTGCTATGATTAGAATTCATTTTTGCAAACTATTATGTGCTAACATATTCTTATATCATATGTATATATAATATCTACGTCATCATATCTATAACATCGTATTATTCATATAAATTGCAAATAACATAGTTCAATGTTCCAGGTATGAATACATGTTATAAATCCAACTATTATAGCTACTATTATATGGGATTTATTATGCATCGCGACTAATAGACTATTATGTATTTGATAACATTATATAAAATATATACTGTATAATATATATATTCTTTTAATAATATGATAAATCTTTTTATCATAATGAGTTTACTTCACACTTCTTTAGTAAATATTATAAAAATAAATTTTGTTTTACAATAAGTTTAAGATGACAAATTAATTTAATTCATTTTAAATATATTTAACAAACATATTTAAAAACCTCAAACCTTTTATAATTTTAAAAAATGTAATTTAATTCGAAAAACCTTATATATCAAACATAATTAAATTATAGACACAACCATAAAATACGAAATGAATTATAATATATTCATAAATACAAATTTAATAAATTTTAAATACGAGTTAAAATTTAAATTTTGCTACATTTAAAAAAAAAATTATTGTATCCTACCAAAAATCTTGCCATATTTCATATTAACAATTTCAAAAAAACATTAAAGATATATTAAAAAATATAAACTAGAAAAGTTTTTCCATATTTTTCTTAAATGTTTTATTTAATATATTTGCATATCATGTATATAAGTTCTTATATGAATAGTTTCAGAGAAGGACATCACAAAAACATTCTTATACATATAATCAATAATCGTAAGTACTTCAATTTTTTGAAATATATATAGCAATACATATACATACAATATATATAGCATATACTTTCGCTTAAGTGTATTCAAGATATATATTTAATATAGGTAATAAAAGCTTCATAGTATACATATATGGTATATGCACTCATAGTAAGTATAAATTTTCAAATAAAGTTGAAATGATTTATCTTTTGAAATATTAGAAGTATTTAAGATTTTAAATAATATTCGTATTTCTGAGAACGCCATAGGTAAACGAAAGCATTGTTGGTGACGACATAGAAAAAAAGAAACTTTAAATTTTATATAGAAAATATAAAATAATAAGAATCAACTAACCTGATTTGGAATTTGATTTAACTAACACATTTTTCAGAATCTCTTTGCTACTATTTCTGATCGCAATTAACATCAGAACTAGCCTTACTAGTACTTTGCTCAATTTCCATACATATTGCCTTTATTGTTTCAAGTGTTTCAGGAAAGTTTTTCACAGCATTCTCATCATTTCCATCAGTTTCTGACTTCTCAGGATAACCTTCCAATGGCCCTTCGTCATCACTGATATCACTTTCAGTAGGCTCCTTTGGAACGAATTTGCTTAATATCTCTTCAGTGGCGTAAAGATCAATATAACTAGCCACTCTTTTCAAATAGTTCTCCGGTTGGTGAAGATATAAATCAGCTGCTTTCTTATTAAGTGCGTCGGTAGGATTTGGTTGAAGTAGAAGAGATGGCAAAAAATGATCAAAGACATTATTCAAATTATATTTGGCACACCAATGTTCATTCAACAGATCCAAACATATTGTTCCAAATAATGCATCAATATTTGGATGATAAATGCGATTCAAAAAATTTATTGCTGGTGGGTTACGTGGATAATTCGCAGGCAATTGAACTTGAATTTTCCAAACACCATTTTTATACAGAGTATCATCAGGACCATAAAATTTAACATGAAATAAATTATAGCCTTCAATAAATTTAACTTCAAACTCGCCCTCAATAAGTTTCTTAACATCCAAAGCCTTACGTCGTTCGCTTGCCATTGTTCCAAGTCCAAAATCACCCTAAAAAAATACTATTCATACAAAAATATATAATAATTTAATAAAATTACTTAATAATTAACTGATTTTAAAAGAAATTAATTTCATTAGCATTATTGTTTACTTAACTCTACGCCAAAAAGAATTGCGTCAACCAAGTTCAATAGTGACAAAAATTGAGAGTTTGCTTATTTAGATATGATCAAATCTTATCCATATTTTGCGAACTCAGATTGAATTCCTAGTAATAACATTTTTATTCATATATAATTTTGTTTGTGTATTTGTAAGCATTATTTCTCATAAAAAAAATACGTACAAAACCAAACCATACAAAATATGGTTTATTAGATACAAATAACACTCCATTTTTGTCTGTTTTCATATAAATTCTTTTCATTAACTGACCTAAGCACAACTGTATCAATCCGTATTTTTAAAACAAACTTTAAATGGAAATATCCAATAATTGCTATAGTTTCAGTCATTGATATGTATCGAGTATCAAGGAACGAAACTATCTAAGCTTACACATATAACTATACTTAACATTTCAGTTTGTAGTGCGAACTGAATTTTGGCATGGAATCAATCCTTCAGTTCTGTTTTTAACAATCATATAAGCTATTAAGCTAAAGTGTTTCTCATAAAAAACAATGGTTAATCTAAATTTATATCTATCTAGCAACATTTAAATAACAAATACTTACGCATATACTGTTGCATATTAGGAGAACAATTTCAAATATCAAATATATTTCCGAGAAACTTTGCATACAGTTGAGTAATGCTGAACTAACTGCCTCGTATTTCGCAATTCAAATTTCAATCGAAAGGTGTAAACTTGATACTTAACCTGGAAAACGTTTCTCAACCTTACTTGGGATTAATCATTTAAGAGTACCTATAACGCCTTATTGGGTTTTGCCTGCTCCAATCCAATTGAAAAACGTAGAACAAAGTATCTAAATAAAACATTTACAATGCTCTCTACATTTTTTGATAGAAGAAATAGAACTTGTCTATAGAACTAGATATATTTATTATAAATAATTTAAAATAAAATTAATAGAAATTAAATGTATGACAAAAAGATATAAGGACATATAACAAAATAATAAAAATAAAATAATATTTTGTGTATTATTTAATTTTTTTTATATCTTCATATCTTTTTAATATATTTTTAATTTCTATTTATTTATTAATATAAAAATTATATCCTTTATTTTTTAAATTTATATATGTCTCTTCATTTTTACATATTAATTATTCATACTGAACTATTAACACGAGGATATGATCAAGGAATTAAATAAATTTTAACTTCAAAAATTTTTTAATTTTTAATTGTTTTATTTTCATTAATTTTTATCTATTTTTATTTAATTTATTTATTTAGAAATTCTTAAGTACAAATTCATTCTAAAAGAATGCGAATACATTTGAACGCCAGTTTAGCTGAATTTTAATATATATATTTAAACTTTAATTTCACTTAAATTGTTGTTAAAAAAAAATTGCTTAAAACACTCAAAATTATTTTAATAAAATTGAAAAATTATTATTTCACAAATATATATTTAATCATAAATATATTCAAAAATGTATATATATATATATGCACTCTTACTTATATGATATATATTATATATGAATTTAATGTTTTTAATTGCAATAATTGAATAAAAAAAAATTCAAATTATATACACTTTTAAAATACATTAAAAATGTGTGTTATTAATTTATTCATTTATAATAATTAATTTTTGGAGAAAACGTATTTTTTAAATAAATCTTTTTTAATTTTTGGTCTATAAATCAAGAAACTTAATTTCAATTTACTTACAAAAAATTGGTCAAGAAAAGATAATATTTTCACTTATTACCTCAAAGTCAACTTACGCACGTGAGCTAAGACCACAGACTGATTTACATTTTCTAACATCTTTAGCAATTGAAGTGCCTGTTAAATTAACCCGATCCGAAAAGAAAGAGAATTGCCAACTTCTTATTATATTCAAATGTATCTAATTTTCTGAACTTATTTACAATTCACAATAGTGTGTCCTATAGATTTTTAATCTACGCATCGTCCGTTACGCCTCAAAGAGCCAGTAAAACAGTCGAGAGGATCGAACTTTAAAAGAATTGACTGATAACCTAAGCAAAGAATTGGTACATATGAAATCCATCGGAATGGGAATTTAATATGCAGTGTCTTGTATTTGGAACAATTAAAGTTTTTGGAATGGCCAAATTGGTAGAAATTTGAAGCTATTGTGTGATTTGAGGGTTTATTGAAATTAGGTACTTAGATTAACAAGCTTGGAAGGAGGTTGCTGTATAATTTAATTGCTATCAAGTTCCGTTGTAGTAGTTTGACTTATACTAATCGCATAAAAAGCTTTATGTTTAATCATGACGTTAACTGTAAAGAGTAATGTTAAAGAGGTATATTTCTGACATTTGGATTAGGTGAGATAATTGTTTAAATATAATTTCTTTGTCAATACAATATTCGACGAACTGAAATATATCCGTATTATTATTTGTTAATATAGAAGCAACAATGGATCGATAGTGAATTTAGAATATGTATTGCATGTGTTTTAAATAATCAATTTAAATAATTTATTTAATCAATAATAAATCATATTTTTATTGATATTGTGAACTGAGTATAAATATAAATGAAATAGAAGAATCATATGTTATAATAAATTTATTGTTTTTATTGACCCACCAGAATTATTCTTTAAGAAGAAATACATTCCAATGTGTATAAAACTTAGTTGACACAGAAAGTAGAACCAACTGATCATTTTGTTCACTTAATTGGAGTAAAAAACAGTTTGAAATAGGTCTATTACACCATGGAAAAATCATCTGTGATTCAAATCTCACTTTTGGTTAACGAGCTCTGAAATAAGGTAAAATCATCTATTCACAATTAGAATAAGAAAAATCTACAAGTGAGGCCACAATGTCCTCACGTCTCGAAGAATACAGTACGTTAGATGCTTAAATACAATACGTAAATTATTCATGAAAGCCAATATTAGAAAAAAAGGACTTATGAAATACTGAAAAAAAAAAACAAGTCTAACGGAAAATTTGAAAATAATGGTTTATAAGAGAAATAGCCATAGGTTTTATAAGCTAGGAAGAAGAATTAAAAAACAGCCGGAGCTTGTTTAGGTTTTATAGTTTTATAAGTGTGGAACCATGGTAGTGCTAAAAACGTGGCAAAAGATATTTAATTAAAAAGGATGTCGCATTATTTAATACTATTTGTATGAATAAAGTAAAGGAACCGGCAATTCATATGCCCTGTAATATTTTTAATTGTATAATTAAATTATTTTAAAAAACGAATTTCCTAATCTTGTTTGTATTTACTGCTGTCTACAAAATTAATATTATTCCAATAAACCAAATAGGTGTTAAGACTACTAGCAACTATACTAGTGGTTTACACCTACCATAAAAATATATTTACGGTTTATGCGTCGCCATAGGAAATAAATTTATACCACAGCTTTAGTCTATAACTCCGAAGCATGTGTCTGTGATTAGAATTTTGAAGGATTTGGGTTAAATTCTTGCTACTTACAGTATTATAGAGGACGAAATAAATTTAAAAAATATAAATATAAAATACAAAGTTTATTGATAATGACGAGCAACAGTTTTATAATGGTGGAACTATGCTACAGCCAGAAAGATGTCAGAAGTTCACGAACTTAAATTGACAATATAGTTCAATAATATATTTCTTTACCATAGAAAAATTATTTTTCATTTATATTTTTAAAAAAAAGAAACGAAAAAAAAAAATTGCAAACTAAAGTGTCCTTAAAAACTATTTACAAAACATATTATTATAAAACATGACCTATGGCTCCTTACTCACCTACGTCTCCCCCATTTGGTCTGCAATCTCTTCCGCCCTAATGGAATAGTCCGCCTGTTTCAGCAAAAACTTCTTTGGGATTGCACTAACTATAAGCGCAAGTCTGACGGCAAGCAATTCTCCATCTCTGTCCTTTACGACACTGCCAAGATCGCTCGCATTGATGAATTCCTTTTGACACTCGCCCGTAGGCACCTTACCCGGCTCCATAACTTGTCCCCTAACATCACTATTCCTATTACCCTTCCTGAAGATCTTGTTCTAGCTTTGCGCTTTAAACCCCCCCAATACCTATCCCACTACCTCGATGAATGGGACTGTAACCTCCACTCCATTCCCCTATACAACCGCGGCTTTCGAGACCCCTGTCACAAAGTTTACAGCTAACCTCACCTCCGCTCATCTGCGCTAACCACACCGTCTGCTCTATAACCCAGTTTTCCTAATGTACGCACTTGCTTTCTGGCTTAAATAAATCTAGCTCGCTAGGTACTAAGTCTATTTTTTCTCCACTCTCCCCTAATTACTGGAATGAAGTTTTCACAATGCTGAGGAAATCTTCTTCATTCATTCCTAAGACATGGTTTAATGGGTTCAAGTCTCACACGGTGGCTTGCGATGCACCACCTACTGTAAAAAAAAAAAATTTGGTGTGTTATGTAGCATTATTGTGCTATATTCAACCACTATATTTATACAATGCGTTAGAAGCACTGAATGTTTTTAAATGAGTAAAACTTAAAAAATTATTAATCAAATTAACTAACTGAACTAATATAAAATTATAACAATAATAATTAATTATAAAGGTTAAAAAATCGAAAAATAAACAATTAACTATTTGAAAAGCATTTGAAAACTTGACTACTTTCTTATATATATGTAGTTGTCCGCAAATGCCTACCTCTAAGTAAATATTGTATACGAAATAAAATTTTTTAATTCTTTTAACTTTTTAATTCAAAATGAACATGAATTCAAAAAACTCAATGCGATTAACATAACTAGTTGTTCAACCGATCTTGTGGCTTTTACAGCCTTTTACCTTTCTCTTCATCGCTTCTCCTTCTTCCTCTTATTCAGACGGATACGCTCGGCTAAATCGAAATCAGTCATTGTCATGTTTCCAACTGTTGTGGTTAACGGCTCAACCGCTTTTGAGTCTTCTACGTCCACCATTTCAGTGGTCACACGACTGTGATGTGTCGTAGTATCTAAAGCTAAGATTATCAGCTCGGCCTCATTGTCCACCTTATCAGCATCAACTACTTCGCTTTGTATAGGTTTTGTTAAAATTGTATCAATTTTGTTCCCACGAGTTGCGAAGAGAAATATGTCCACCTGCAAAGAGCTTTGCATTGCACAGATAAGGCTGTTTAAATATGAGATCACCAAATATCCTGAGTTTGCTAATAAGACTGCTTCTACCCCAGCAGACAAGCCAAAGGCATAGCTGTTCCGCCTTAGTTTCACTCACACATTCATTCAATCATTCTATCTGATCATTCACTAACTATTCACTGATTATCTGCGTCAAGCGATAAGCAGAAAATAAATAAATGATAAATAGTCACACACCCCGAAGGCTGGTCAACTTAGCAGGACCTGAGCAGATGTGCGTTAACACTTGCCTAACTCGCTGGAGTCCAGACTTAGCCTGCTAGCAAAGGGATCGACTTATCAGGAATCGTAGCAAGCTACTTTGACCTGTGCGCCCTCACGCTTTACCAGGAATCGTAAATACTCTACTTTGACCTGTGCATTTTCTGTTTTAGTCGCCTTTTACGATAAGAGACATACTAAAGTGGTATTCTTATCCCGACACCACTCGAGACACATATATGTAAAAAAGGTCCGAAATGAAAACTAAAATATAATGCTACCTCACTTTTATATACGTCTAGAAACTTTGACATGTCACGTAAATAAATTGTAATTAAAAATATATAATACAAAATTTTCAATATTCAATTAGGGACTATAGAATAAGTTATAATCCCAGATTTTTGAATATCCGTACTCTCTGAAGACGACAAAATACATCAGTTTCTTTAATTAATCAAAATTAATCAAAAAAATCGGTAATTTATCTTTATAACGCTATTGCTAATGAAAACAGAGATAACTCCATACACGATTTAATCAATTTTAAACACGTAGCACGCTGTATGAGGTACTATTAAAAAGTTTAGTCAAGAAATGTCTATTTAGTAATTGAATATTCCGGTAAGAATGATTGGTCTTATATTCCTTACAAAATGCTTCTATTGTTCACATTTTTCAGATTTCATGTTTTCCACTTACGCAAGAACTTTAAATATTCCATTGCAAACTTACTAACTTATTAATATTAACTAATTATTTAATTAACTAATTAACTAATAAAAACTAATTTTAAACGACAAATTCAAAGTTTTTTCAATGAATTGTGAATATGCAGCCAAATGCATTATAGGAGTATCGACATTTTTATATGGAAGTGTCAGTAACATGTCTATTAGTAAAAGGATATAGTTTTTTCGAGAATAGAGGAAATGATTTTTCTACTGGAAACTTATACAAAATTATTTGAAAAAAAAATTGATTTTTTTCTTTTAAATTAATGCCATTCAATTTAAACTTATAAATCTAAAAGACTTTTAATATTGATCAAGGAAAAATAATATATTTCATTATATCGTGACCTTATATGCAGAGATACGGAATGCCATATTACACAAAGACATAGAAATAATGTAATAATATTTCTTCATCAGTACTAATAATCATAATATTAAAATTAATTTTATGTATTATTAAAGTATAATATTTTTAAATAAAATATACACTGAATATCTTTGTATATATCTTTGTGTTATTTCCATACATTACAAAACATTCAATTAATTTCTTGAACGTAAATACAACTCAGGTAGTCTATTGTTCTCAGCTCATAGACCCCAAGTCTTTTAGGTTTTAATGAATATATTACACATAACTATAATTCACTAAAAATTATATAAAATTGTCTTTTAGAATAAATTTGCGATAAAAATATTAATTAAATCTTATGAAATTTTTCAGAATGTAATTTAATTTAAAAAAATATATATAATAATCCATTATAAAATTGCAAATGAAGTCCTATATTATACATTCATAAATACGAATTAAATAAATTTTAAAGTTAAAGTCCCTTCCAAAGTTGCTTTATTTATAATTTTTCAATTTAAAAACAATATAAAAAAAGATGTAGTAATCTACTACGAATAAAAAAAACTAGAAAAGTTTTTCCATATTTTTCTTAAGTGTTTTATTTAATATATTTGCATATCATGTGCATAAGTTCTTATATGAATAGTTTCAGAGAAGGACATCACAAAAACATTCTTATACATATAATCTATAATCGTAAGTATTTCAATTTTTTTGAAATATACATACAATATATATAGCAATACATATACATACAATATATATAGCATATACTTTCGCTTAAGTGTATTCAACATATATATGTAATATAGGTAATAAAAGCTTCTATACTATATACATATATGGTATATGCACTCATAGTAAGTATAAATTTTCAAATAAAGTTGAAATGATTAATCTTTTGAAATATTAGAAGTATTTAAGATTTTAAATAATATTCGTATTTCTGAGAACGCCATAGGTAAACGAAAGCATTGTTGGTGACGACATAGAAAAAAAGAAACTTTAAATTTTATATAGAAAATATAAAATAATAAGAATCAACTAACCTGATTTGGAATTTGATTTAACTAACACATTTTTCAGAATCTCTTTGCTACTATTTCTGATCGCAATTAACATCAGAACTAGCCTTACTAGTACTTTGCTCAATTTCCATACATATTGCCTTTATTGTTTCAAGTGTTTCAGGAAAGTTTTTCACAGCATTCTCATCATTTCCATCAGTTTCTGACTTCTCAGGATAACCTTCCAATGGCCCTTCGTCATCACTGATATCACTTTCAGTAGGCTCCTTTGGAACGAATTTGCTTAATATCTCTTCAGTGGCGTAAAGATCAATATAACTAGCCACTCTTTTCAAATAGTTCTCCGGTTGGTGAAGATATAAATCGGCTGCTTTCTTATTAAGTGCGTCTGTAGGATTTGGTTGAAGTAGAAGAGATGGCAAAAAATGATCAAAGACATTATTCAAATTATATTTGGCACACCAATGTTCATTCAACAGATCCAAACATATTGTTCCAAATAATGCATCAATATTTGGATGATAAATGCGATTCAAAAAATTTATTGCTGGTGGGTTACGTGGATAATTCGCAGGCAATTGAACTTGAATTTTCCAAACACCATTTTTATACAGAGTATCATCAGGACCATAAAATTTAACATGAAATAAATTATAGCCTTCAATAAATTTAACTTCAAACTCGCCCTCAATAAGTTTCTTAACATCCAAAGCCTTACGTCGTTCGCTTGCCATTGTTCCAGTCCAAAATCACCCTAAAAGTATTAAAGAAAAAATACTATGCATACAATAATATATAATAATTTAATAAAATTACTTAATAATTTACTGATTTTAAAAGAAATTAATTTCATTAGCATTATTGTTTACTTAACTCTACGCCAAAAAGAATTGCGTCACCCAAGTTCAATAGTGACAAAAATTGAGAGTTTGCTTATTTAGAAATTATTAAATCTTATCCATATTTTGCGAACTCAGATTGAATTCCTAGTAATAACATTTTTATTCATATATAATTTTGTTTGTGTATTTGTAAGCATTATTTCTCATAAAAAAAATACGTACAAAACCAAACCATACAAAATATGGTTTATTAGATACAAATAACACTCCATTTTTGTCTGTTTTCATATAAATTCTTTTCATTAACTGACCTAAGCACAACTGTATCAATCCGTATTTTTAAAACAAACTTTAAATGGAAATATCCAATAATTGCTATAGTTTCAGTCATTGATATGTATCGAGTATCAAGGAACGAAACTATCTAAGCTTACACATATAACTATACTTAACATTTCAGTTTGTAGTGCGAACTGAATTTTGGCATGGAATCAATCCTTCAGTTCTGTTTTTAACAATCATATAAGCTATTAAGCTAAAGTGTTTCTCATAAAAAACAATGGTTAATCTAAATTTATATCTATCTAGCAACATTTAAATAACAAATACTTACGCATATACTGTTGCATATTAGGAGAACAATTTCAAATATCAAATATATTTCCGAGAAACTTTGCATACAGTTGAGTAATGCTGAACTAACTGCCTCGTATTTCGCAATTCAAATTTCAATCGAAAGGTGTAAACTTGATACTTAACCTGGAAAACGTTTCTCAACCTTACTTGGGATTAATCATTCAAGAGTACCTATAACGCCTTATTGGGTTTTGCCTGCTCCAATCCAATTGAAAAACGTAGAACAAAGTATCTAAATAAAACATTTACAATGCTCTCTAAATTTTTTGATAGAAGAAATGGAACTTGTCTATAGAACTAGATATATTTATTATAAATAATTTAAAATAAAATTAATAGAAATTAAATGTATGACAAAAAGATATAAGGACATATAAACAAAATAATAAAAATAAAATAATATTTTGTGTATTATTTAATTTTTTTTATGTCCTCATATCTTTTTTATTTCTATTTATTTATTAATAAAAAATAATAGTCTTTATTTTTAAATTAATATTGTCTCTTCATTTTTACATATTAATTATTCATACTGAACTATTAACACGAGGATATGATCAAAGAATTAAATAAAATTTAACTTTAAAAATTTTTTAATTTTTAATTGTTTTATTTTCATTAATTTTTATCTATTTTTATTTAATTTATTTATTTAGAAATCCTTAAGTACAAGTTCATTCTAAAAGAATGCGAATACATTTGAACGCCAGTTTAGCTGAATTTTAATATATATATTTAAACTTTAATTTCACTTAAATTGTTGTTAAAAAAAAATTGCTTAAAACACTCAAAATTATTTTCATAAAATTGAAAAATTATTATTTTACAAATATATATTTAATCATAAATATATTCAAAAATGTATATATATATATGCACTCTTACTTATATGATATATATTATATATGAATTTAATATTTTTAATTGCAATAATTGAATAAAAAAAAATTCAAATTATATACACTTTTAAAATACATTAAAAATGTGTGTTATTAATTTATTCATTTATAATAATTAATTTTTGGAGAAAACGTATTTTTTAAATAAATCTTTTTTAATTTTTGGTCTATAAATCAAGAAACTTAATTTCAATTTACTTACAAAAAATTGGTCAAGAAAAGATAATATTTTCACTTATTACCTCAAAGTCAACTTACGCACGTGAGCTAAGACCACAGACTGATTTACATTTTCTAACATCTTTAGCAATTGAAGTGCCTGTTAAATTAACCCGATCCGAAAAGAAAGAGAATTGCCAACTTCTTATTATATTCAAATGTATCTAATTTTCTGAACTTATTTACAATTCACAATAGTGTGTCCTATAGATTTTTAATCTACGCATCATCCGTTACGCCTCAAGGAGCCAGTAAAACAGTCGAGAGGATCGAACTTTAAAGGAATTGACTGATAACCTAAGCAAAGAATTGGTACTTATTCATCAATTGAGTCGATCAAGTTCATTAAATATGTTTTTTTTAAATTTGGAACATGTGAAGTTGGCAGTATGACCAAAAGTGTAAGAGAAGGGTACGAATAAAAAAACATGTAGTTAAGTTTTTTAATCAAAAACGTTTGAAGGAACTTGTAATATTGCTATCAAATTCGTTTCGGGCAAAGTACACAAAACGATTACGATAATCGTTAAAATAACAGGAATGATATGAAAAACGATACGCAAGTAATTTTATATTACTGAGACATCAACAGAAAACCCCTTATAAGTTGTAACTATTTTCTTCTTTATACTTTATATGGATTTTATACTAAAGTGCTTGTGTTCTTCAACATTATTCCTACCTCATTTTAAAGACAATGGCAGAATAGTAGCATGGTTTCTCCAGAAACCAATTTGATATATTTTTTGTATGTACCACTTTGAAAGTATAGATATTCAATTTATTATGTATCGTAATTATTTTGCATAGTCATTTCGAAAGCGACCTACAAAATAGGACGTACCAATTATGAGTATTATTACCAGTATCACATTAAACTTTTATACATTAAGAGGGTAATCTTTGCAGCGATTTTTCAGTTCACCATATTCAAAAATCTTGCGAAAGATCATTTGTAAGATCTTTCGTATTCTAGCAGCCGCCTTTTACAAGTCTGAAAGCTGTTTTCGGTCTTTCTAAAGACCAAATGAAAGATCTATTGATTAGATATTTCGATTCTCAACTAATATTTTGTTTGTGTTTTTGGTGTATGAAATTTTATATAAAATTAAATACAAAATTAGAATAAAAATTAATGATTAATTAATAAATTAAAATTTATAAAAGTTGAATAATTTTTTTTAACTTCATTTTTACGATACAATTGATATACTATACTGCCTTTATAAAAATTTTGAAATATATATTTCATATATTTATATATAATGCATATTTTTCTTATATATTTAAATTTTAATATTTATTTAATATTTATAACATTGATTTATTCATCTATGTATTTATTTATTTATATAGACTTAAACTATAATTTTAAAAATAATTATTTGCACTTTTTGCTCTGGAGATGAAATTGCTCTGATACTTACTATATATCATATGGATCTTAAAAAATGAAATCAATTAAAATTTTAGATCAATATACTTACTTAATATAAAAACAAGTAATTAAATATATGTGATTATGTTAATGTTGAGTTTATTAGACTTAAGACCATATTTACAATTAAAAATATATATACATATGATCAAGGCGAACGCCACTCAATGCAATCGCTATGTTGCTTTAGCTGGTCTTAAAACCCAATACACATCATCGATAACTGTGAAACCCAATTTCTCAAATAATGAACGTGAAGCTACATTATCAAAAACTACTGGAGCCATAACTTCAATATTATTTTTTGCTAAAGTATGAGATAACTTCCGTATCATTATGCTACCCAAGCCCAAACGTTTATGTGAGTCCATAACTTGCAAAAAACCCAAACAGCCTAAAGGTAAACTGTTAGTAAGAAAATTAAAAATAAAGAAAATGTTGGGTATAAATATAATTACTTTACAATATTAAATATAATATAATTACTTATATTAAATATGCATTTATAAAATTACCGTGAGCACCAAGCTACTAGTTCACTACTTGTTTCATCTATAATGCCCACACCATCATAGTTTCGTATTAAAAGCTCCACAAAAGCAACTGTACCGGGGCCACGATGTGACCAAATGCTGTTCACTTTTTCTGCATGTCTTGGTTCCAGTTTTATTAATTTAACACCATTTGAAATCCTAAAAGGACTGGATATCAATAGATTATTTATTATCTACAAAGAAGTGACTAAGTTCTTTACTCATACGAAAGCTGCAATGCTTGCTCCTTATTCATGTGATATAAAATGGTACGATATGCAGAAGTTGTGTCGATTTTAAGATCGTACAAATATTTATCTATAGTCGGTTTAATATTTTGTTGGGAACCGTAGAGCAAAAGATTCTTCTGATTGTCAAGGCATTGAAGCGCTTGTAATAGACGTTCGTGATTTGTACTGAGTGTGTTTACGAATGTGTAAATCGGTTCTATTAAGCAGTGCTATTAAAAATGTATTATAATATTTATACCAAGTAATTTCATTGAAACACTCATAGATACTTACCTGTAATATAAAGGTACCATCCTCTTTCCAATCTCCATTGAGTGATAATATTTGTATATTTTCTTCTGGATTTGTAATTTTTAATAAAATATAATTTTGTATTACATAATATGCACATGAAGAGTTTTGCACGTGTATATATAAATCACGTAAAATTGGCCATTCATTTTCTGGGATTTCGATTAACTTATTTGACATATTTTTTAAAAAAATATAATTAAAATATGAAAAACCACAATTTACTTTCTTATTTCTTCAAACTAAATATGCTATTTGTTTAAATGTTATCAATGCTTAAAACACAATGAATAAGCCCCAAAGCCCATTTTACGCTCTAGATTTTTCTAACGTAAACAGAAAGTTCTCTTTAAATGTCTAAGACTTGGCTCTTCGAGCCTTTTAATATTATTAAATATTTTCTTGCTCTTTAAATGTATTTAACAAATACCGGACTATATTAAATTAAACTAACAACATTAATTTTGATTTAAAAAAAAATTAAATAGTATTATAGTCGAATATCACCGCCCTATGCTCTTACTAATAGCGGTGTCTTTACCCAAAGTACACCAAGGAAATAAAAATAATAATAAATATAGTCGAACGTAGTTACTAAAAATCTATTAAGTAAAGTTTATCAGATTAGAAATATAGGCTGATTTATAGAAAATGAGATTAGTTTGAAGAAAAAATGTAAAAAAAAAACAAAAATTTTTGCATAGAAACTGTTATCTGAACCATTCAATTCGCGAACAGCCATTATGTATACCTTATCAAACAACTTACTAATAAGAAAAATATCTATTAGCATAATGATATACATTAAGCGCACTTATAAAATAACTGTATATAAATAATTGATATGAATTTTTCTTTTCAAAATTCCAATAGCATCATGACAATCATATATAAAGATAAAGAAGAATTGTCTTTACAATATAAAGACAATCATATGACGAATGGTCCCGGAAATTTGACGCTCTTATGGTCATGACCAAAAGGCATATTATACAGAGAGTCATGGCACAATTGTCCATTTCCTACTTTTGTTCCTAAATTTAAAAAATAATTATTTGTTTTATTATATGATTATACATCCAAGCAAAAATACACAAATTTACTACTAATACGCGCCAATTTTGAAATTTATTAGAGAGCAAGACGATTTTGACCACCGTGAGGAACACTGAAAGTCTGATTACAGTCATCATATTTTAATCGAAATTTCTCTCTTTCTCCCATGCAAAGTTTTTTGATTTATATTGAAAAGAACTACAACTTCACATTTGAAGTCAATAATAGTAATATATATTGTACTAGAAAAAAAGTTAAAATATTTAAAGTTATAAAACAAACTTCATGTATTTGAATTTTCATCCTATTACAATGAGTATTCCTATTATTGAAATACATATAATATAAATTTTATACTATTTCACACACGTCACAGTCGAATCTGAATCAAATTGTATTTGTTTAATTTATTTTAATATTTTTTTTTTGAACTTTCCCCCCCTCCAATAAGGTACTATCTATCTAATCAACAAGAACCATTTCTTTCCTAATACAACTAAGGCCTACTCTAATACGAATGTACTGTTTTCTCTATAATTATTTCTTCAACTGATTACTAGGTTTGTTTTTCGGTTTAACCTTTCATTCTAATTCTATATTCAAAATACTATACTTTTACTGATATTCTCCAGAGAACCCACTACTTTCTAGACCTTCTGTCTCTATCAAATGAAGATAATCAGTTTTTAAAATTGTTAATATCGAAAAATTAAAATCTCTTTTTTATAAAACATGGTTTTATAGAAAAATATTATATATTATTTTTTTTACAATTAAAGCGACTTTTATAAGATATATATTCACATAAGTTTCCATTCATACTTCTCATCGAGATGCAGCTCTCATTTAAAAATCAAATTATTATTCATAATAATTATATTTATTTATTTAAAAATATTAATTAAAACTTTATATTAAAAATGACAACTTTAAAAATTAAACAGATTTTTATAATTATCATTAATATAAGACATAATAACATCCTAACAAACAACTTTGTTTGGTTATGTAAAGACAAAAAAATACAAAAAATATTAAATTTAATTCAATAAATATATAAATATATATATATAAATCAGCAGTGCACTGTATATTGAAAATTTATTATATATAATTTATAGTGGTTAATTTACTTAAATTACATTTTTTTATCACTCATATTTCGCATATGATTGGTCTTTTTCACATATTATTACTAATTTATTTTATTAAGTAGATTAATATTTTATTTTAAATTAAATTGAGTTGCATATATTAGTTTGCATTATACAAACATAAACTTTATTTATCACATATATTAAAACATCTGCTACTTTTAATTATACGCCCTTCATTGACTTCCATTCTAAAAACTTGCACCTGAGACACTTCTTCATATAAATACGTATATTCTTTCAAATTTTTTCTTATCGATTTTTTTAAAAATATTACCTTTAAGGGTTTACAAAATTTAACCAAATTATTGCTGATTTAACCAACTATGAAATGTATTTATTAACTTAAGGAACTTAAGAAATTATGATATATTAACTATTAAGTATATGTGGATATATCACTGGGCATAGTTCATACGCGCCTCAGTTTAAAAATAATACAAATGGTGTACTTATTATTATTATACCTAAATTATGTACTATCAATCTTTTAATATAGTAAGCATATTTATAATGAGAAATAAATGAATTATTATAAAATATTATATATAACTGTAAAGTATTATGCTTGCTTGGTCGGTCTTGGAGCCCAGTATACCTTATCGATAGCTCTGAAGCCCAATTTCTCAAACATTGAACGTGAAGCCACATTTTCAAATACTACTGGAGCCATAACTTCTATGTTATTTTTCGCCAAGGTATGTGATAATGTCCGCACCATCAGGCTTCCCAAACCCAAACGTTTATGTGAGTCCACAACTTGTAATAAACCCAAAGATCCCAAAGGTAAACTGTGAATATAAAAAATTTAAACATAATATCTGAGATATTGACATTATTATTATATACTTATTATTTATACTCAAACTAATGTAATTACAATATAATGTGTATTTATATGAAGCATATTTAAAGAAGGAAAGTACACTTATGGAACAAAAATATTAAGGTAGAAAAAAGGCTGATTGTGTATATAGTATATAAACAAAATATATTATATTATTATTATATAAACATAAAATATATTATTTATTATATATATAAATAACATTGCAGCGCCATTTCACAATTGTGACTATTTTTAAAGGTAAAATAATATAGCTATAGCCTATACATGGCAATTGCGAATATAAAGATAAGAAATACACTAATGTTCATACTCAGTATGATATATTTTATGATATATACTTTATATACATATCAAAGTAATTTATTTCAAAACAGCTTGTAGTGTATGTAAAAACTATTACAAATGCCCCCACCCAAAAGCAAAACAAACCTTGATTAACATACAACCACAAAATATATAATATATATAATTTTAGAATTGTATAATTTCATACCGTAAACACCATGCAACTAATTCCCCTGATTCATCTTCTGCACCCACACAAATGTCGTTTTTTATTATATAATTGACAAAATCAATTGAGTCAGGTCCACGATGTGGCCAAATACTGTTCACTTTTTCTGCATGACGTGGTTCCAATTTAATCAATTTAATACCAGTGGGGGCCCTTAAATATAACTACATTATATTCAAACCACAGATTTTAAAAGTAAAAGTAACTTACTCAATCGAAAACTGTTCTGCCTTCTCCTTATCAAGATGGAACCAATTGGTTCCACTGTATATCGAAGTTGTGTCCATTGTAAAACACTTAAAATAATTATCTATAGTTTGTTTAACATGTTCCTGGAAGCCATACAAAAATAGTTCCTTATTGGGGTCAAGACAATGGAGCGCTTGCAATAGACGTTCTTGATTTGTACTGAGAGTATTTACAAAAGTGTAAGTGAATTTCTTGAAGCAGTGCTATTAAATAAGTAGATATATTATGTTAAGTAAATTTTTTTTTTTTTCGAATACTCGTACATAATTACCTTCAATATAAAAGTGCCATCGTCTTTCCAATCACCATTAAGCGATAATATTCTTACGTTTTCCTCGGAATTCTTTATTTTCAATGAAATATAGTTTTGTATTAAAAAATATGAGCTTGCAAACTGTTTCTTTTCCTTGTACAAATCACGTAGAGCTGGCCAGTCTTCTTGTGCGATTTCAATTAGTTTGTTCGACATATTTTCCGATAAATGCTATTAAAAATATCTATTTAATATTTGATATATAAAAATTTTATTTAGAGATTTTATGTAGCCAAACACTTATTACTTCTGTCAAACTGACACTGTTTACTCAATTTCTCGTTTTAAATATGCCATTTGTAAACCGGGAGAGACAATAGGAGGATAGTTTTTTAAAGTAATGTCATTCTCACTTACAACTCCTACTCTTTATTGGCTCTACATATGCTCTTTGCATGCTCTTATATGTTCTTTATATGCTCTTTATTTCTCTTTATTTGCTCTTTATTTGCTCTTACATGCTCTTCTCTTGCTTCCATCTCAATGTGTCAAAGCAAACAAAATTTGCTTTTACTGCATTTATTACATTATTTACCAGAGAATATCTTCTTTGTTATTTACTTAATAACTTTAAGATCGTTCGGATTTACTATCTTATTTCTGTTTAGATAATTATTTTATTTAAGTTTGCTTAACAGTTTCTATATCATTGAAATTCATGACAATACTGGTGTTCTGATGTCGAACTTTCATATTTTTTTCATAGATATAAGTATCTACGCTTTTTTGAACGCTAAGAGTTTACAATATACATGATTCCAAAGTCGGATTGGAAATTATAATCAGACATGTCCACTCAAACGTTATCAAACAATTTACACACAAAATAGGTCGGCAAAATCAATAATGAATTTCAAACACAATTGGAACTAAAACCCAGTACTAACATCCATTCCGCATAAAATATTGATTTAAAATAAAATAAAATGTTATAATAATAATTATATAAAATAAATCTTGAAGAACATTTTTTTGTATATGAAGTTTTATGTTAATTTTTCGTACGAAAAATTAGATTTTACATAAATGAAATCTTTTAACAAAATTCTATAAATCATTTGAAACATATATTAAGAATAATTGAAAACGAATTCAATAGTAAAAAAAGAGCAAGATATAATGAAATCAGTCCCATAATATAAATAAATCTACCACTATTAACTGTAGAATACAAAACCAAGAAGCTTTACGTTTCTGAACTCCATGTGTTTAGTTCCTAAATAATTGGTAAAAGTTTTTGTTCTATCACTATAATCCATAAAAAATACAAGACTCTAGAGCAGCTTCTCCTTATTGGTATATTAGTCAACGACTGTTTCCACGTTTTTTTCTTTATCAGATGGAGATAATAATATCTTATCTAAAGCACTGATAGAACTTAATATGAATAGTTTAAATATAAAATAGTACTTTCGTTAAGAATTTAAATCAATTCTATAATATACATATAATCCATTTAAGTTTCTATTCATACATACATTCATTCATACAAACGAAAGTCTGAAAGTAAATTCGGTCAGTAGTTGTAAGTGTTTACGTATTCTTTACATCTAAAATATACATAACTCTTAATGAAAAAAAGTAATTAAAAAGCCTAAAGAGCTGGTTCGTCCCTACAGTAACGGTAAGATATCCTTCCTGTTTCCCTAGAACAGAGTTGAGGTTGTTGGTGTGATATTTAAAGGATCAGCATGGACTGCGTTATCACCTTAACATAATGGGTCTATCCGAAGAGATAAATTGTCGACTTTACTCGACTTTACGACTGACATTTTGACTTTCATTAAAAGTGCGGAATGTCTTCTGTACGGTTAGAGTCTATAGCAGCACGAAAGATCAACTGCGGTTGCTAAGCTTCGCTCCGTGAGGAGCCGAAACACTGTTTATTTCTATTCTGTTCTAAAATTAAATAACACATACATATATCGAGTATATAATAAAACCAATATTAAACTGTTATATTAAAGTTTTATTTTATTTCATTTAAAATTGTTATTTTACATATAGTATATTCCTCTCTTTCACTCGTACTTTAATAGTGATAACAACTTAAATACACAATAAATATGTATATCTATATATATATACTATTATTTAAAGAATTTGTCTGCCGATATGTAAAATAATGAAAACAAATTTATCGACTATCAAGCGGTCATATTATGAGCAAATTTATGATTAAAAGTTATTTCAAATTGAAAATAATAACAATTATAAATTATTTTTTAATGCAAGATTTAAATTTTTTTAATAGGTCTAAAGGCCCAATATACATTGTCGATGGCTTTGAAACCTAATTTCTCAAACATTGAACGTGAAGCCACATTTTCAAATACTACTGGTGCCATAATTTCTATGTTATTCTTCGCCAATATACGTGATAATTTCCGCACTACTAGGCTACCCAAACCTAAACGTTTATGTGAGTCCATAACTTGTAATAAACCTAATGCACCCAAAGGTGAACTGTTAGTACAAAAATATTAAAAATAATAATAATATGAATAAATAATAAAAATATTGAATGTTAAGAATGTTTTACATAAAAGAAATATTAAATGTATTTATTCATTATACAGTTATAAAATTACCGTGTACACCAAGCAACTAATTCGCCTGTTTCATTTATTACACCCACGCCATCATTATTTCTTATCAAGAAATCCGCGAAAGCTACAGTGCCGGGATTACGATGTGGCCAAACGCTGTCCACTTTTGCTGCATGCCGTTGTTCTAGTTTTATTAATTGAATACCACTGGGAGCCCTAAAACATGACCAATTTGCACAAATACCATATTTTTATACATAAAAACAATTTCATTACTCCTGTGAAAACTCTTCTGCTTTCTCCTTGTCAAGATGGTACCAAACGCAATTGGTGAAATCACATGTTTCTAAATCAATATCGAGATCTCTTAAATATTTGTCTAAAGTCGGCTTAACATGTTCCTGAACTCCATAGAATAGGAGAAGGTTTTCAGTATCGAGACAATGAAGTGCTTGTAAAAGGCGTTCATTATTTGTACAAAGCGTGTTAGCAAAAATATAAATTGGTGTCATTAAGCAATGCTGTCAAAATAGATAAGACGGTTAAGTAAATTATATAGAAAAGCACAACCCAACCTCTAATATGAAAGTACCATCACTCCGCCAATCTCCGTTTAGTGACAATATACGCACTTTTTCCTCTGGTTTCTTTTGCTTGCATTGAATATAATTTTCTATCAAAAAATATGAGCATGAATACGTCTTCTTGTCTATATATAAATCGCGTAAAACTGGCCATTCTTCTTGTGGTATTTCAATTAACTTATTCGACATATTGTATTCGATTTAAAGACCCTTGTACGGTCTTTATACTTCTTAGACTAATATTACTAATCATTCTTTCATTATTATATTTCGTGCTTTTTACGAAAGAGAAACATTTTATTTAGTGGAGAGTGCTTATCTTAAAATTACCTTTTTTACTTAAAACATAAGCTCTCTACATGTTTCCAGCACTTCTTTTTTCTCATATTTAAATTTTTGGCTAAATCTATGTATAGTAATGTTAGTACGCTCTCCAGTGCGCTATAAATTGATGAAACATTACAAAATTACAGAAATTGAAAATTTAATTGAGTTCTAGTCCCTAAACTATAATATGTATGTCTGCTAGTCAGTCTCTTTAAAAAGATATCTACTTAAGAAAGCAATAAAAAAAATTTTAATAATGATAGCAATTAACCAGTCAATAAAGACGGAGAATAGTAACATCTAGAAATGTAGAAACGATTTTTAAAAAATGTATTGCCATCACTCGAGTATAATTTAAAATTTATTTATTAACTACATATATAACTAAATTTATATAGAATTCAATTTAGAATAGATGACAACATTACATATAACATTTGCTTTAATTTTGGTATACATCATACCATTCGAAAACATTATGCATCATCACACCGAACGTCGTCGGAATAATGTGCCCGAGTCCCTAACATTAATATGTAGTTTACGGACTAAAACTTCCCCTCTTTGCCGAGATTTATTTTCCCAGCGGAACCGCTTTCACATTACTTCGAGGAGGGTCTTTTTTATGTCGGCATTTCAAGCCGTCTCAAGGTTTTTTGTCGCGAAATACTGTAAGCAAGATGGTGCCGATTATAGCAAAATGGTGCTATGTTATATGCTATATTTTAGTGATCGTTAGCTTATTGAAAATAGAGTTTGATAACAACTTCGTTTCAGAAACATATCCGTTGTTTGTTTTAAAAATTTATATGATCTGAATCCGGAAGACTAATTTTTGTGGTAATTCTGGGAATTATTTGCCAATGCTGAGAAGCCAAATGGATTCCTATCTAAAAAGGCAACATCAATCACACTTTATGTGAAGAATGATTTTAAATCATTGAAAATGTGATGGAAAATTGGATCATCAGATTGCAGTACTGTAAACAAGAAAAAGTACTGTAATCATGAATATTAAAATATAATCAAAGGGATTAAAAAAATTGGCTCATTTTATTTATATGTAATACATAACACTTTTTAACTAATATATATAATATATATAATAATAATGCGACAGTAAATATTATTTATCTCTTTCAATCTCTGATCATTGACTATGTTGTTCTATTGGCTTCAGCCAATAACATTTATCCACAATTGTAAAATCTAATTTTTCAAACAATTTACATGATGGAATATTTGTTTCCCGGGCTATTGCTAACGTATCGTAACCTAATTCAGCAAAATGACGTGTAGCAGCGCTTACTACAATTTTACCAAAACCCAAACCTTTATACCCATCCTTCACATGAAGCATAGTCAGGAAGCCGCATTGAGAACTATAATAGATGTAAATTCCAATTTTTTTAACAAATCAAAATTGAACATAAAATTTAGCATAATCCTTACCGCAAACACCAAGCTATAAGTTCTTTTGTATTTGCTGCATATAAGCCCATACTAACACTCCATGCAATCAAACGCTCAATAAGAAATAATGAACCCTGATGTCTATATATCCAGTTATCATTGACGAACTTTGCATCATCCAAAGTAAGACCAGATAAATAAAAACCCTGTGGACAACTATTTTTTGTGAAAGTATATATTAAGTATTAAAAATAATCACTATTTATTTTTAGTATTTTTATTTTTATTTTTGTTATCAATTTTATTTATTAGTTTTAATTTTATTATTTTTAATTTCATTATTGTTTTTATTTTTATTATTATTAAAAAGAATAATAATACAATGCGCTCAATGAGATTAGTGGTGCTATTTTCGAAAAGATTAGATTAGTTGTGCGTCCTAAACAAAGTTGAACAAATGAATACTACTGATAAATCTGAGAATACGACTTGGTGCAATGAATACCAAATAAATATGTTAGACTTGTTTCGTGATAATCACAGAACTTAGTCTAATTTAAGTTCAAAAAGAAAACTGGACAAATCTACAAGACAAAGAGATGCAAAAAGATAAATCTAAATAATCATGAATATTTGTACAATTATTCTTTATATGGCGACGAAGAGACAGATAAGGTCCGATTCACAAAACTAATCATGAAAATTTGTATACATATTCTAAAGAAAGGTAAGGTCGCAAAAAGCATGGTTTATTTATTGTCTAGTGTAGATTTAAGTGAAGTACACGCTTAGTGCACATCAATTTTAAAAATTTATTAAATAAACTGTATTTAATAATGAATTCTACTACAATTCAAACTTGATATATCATTCAACATCACACATACCATACGATGATCTAAAAAAGTATGAATACACAATATACAAATACCTTATATCCAAGTTCAATGCTTTTTGACGTGATATATGAAATATGGAACTGATACCCTCACACGTTAATTTTAAATTTTTTGATTTAATCAAATCTAAAATTGTTGGATAGTAACGTTCTAAAATCGGACACTCATTAAAGCCGGAACTCCAATCCAAGAGTGAAAGCGCTTCGTTCACCTGATTGTTACTGTCTTGTTCAAGATTATTAATGAACAATTGATAACGATCCTGAGTAAAATATTTTAATTAAAATTATATATAATTTATTAGATCAATACTTACTGCTACTAAAAATAAACCATCTTTGCGACAATCATTGTTCAGTGTATATATGCTTAAATTTTCTATTTCTCCATATTTCGTTATCCAATTTATATAATTGTCTAGACAATAATAACCCACACAATGTTTAGGCCAATCCACTTTGTATAATTCAAGCAATCTTTTCAGTTCATGAATATCTGTAATTTTTGTTAGTTGATTGCAGTTATCATCCATTTTCTTGATATACGTCAATTCTTTGGGGACGAGAGTATCACATACAATCGTTGTGATACCTCTACTCTTTTAGAGAAACTAAATTCAATGAAACAAAATTGTTGGTTTTCAATTATATTTTGTTCGAGTTTTATGTGAGTATCTTATCGATACATTTCTGTATAAAAGCTGACGAAATTGAATACTATAGTTTCATAGATAAACTTTTTTGAAAGCTTTTTTGTCTTGAGTGTTTTTTATTTAAGCTATGAAAGCTCTCCAGCATTTTAAGAAGACATATCTAATGTTATGCCGAGATACTTTTATGTTGACTTTCTATTTACAAAAAAACTTCTACATTTGCTGAATTTAGAATATATTTTTAATATAATAAATTTATGGGTTTTTCTCTTCTTTACCAAGAAGAAACGTTTACAATTAAATATAGTATTTTAAAAAATATATTATTTTTTTTTGTGTTTTTTATATATTGTGTTTTACTGAATTGACATAATTTTGATATATGAAATTTAAAACTTTATAAAATTTTATTATTACATACTATTGTGTCATTATAAACTAACTAGTATAAAGTCTTCCATATTGAATGCTGATTACTAAATCTTTTCTCTAAAACTCAGTAGTTGAAGGTCTCAGTCGGTAAAAGTATAACTTAGAAATTAAATCTATACATAAATTAATGGTAGATTTGTTTTTTTAGAAATGTTTACTAATTATTATTTAAAAAACCATAATTATGATATAATCAAAAAAATTGAAATAAAATTCTAAGAGAGCAAAAAAAATTTGCAATTGAATTTAATAGTACTTTAAAAAGAAATATTGAAATTTTCAATTTTTATAATAACATATATACCCATACATATTTATCGGTTTAATTAAAATAAAAACAAAATGTTTATAAAGACATGAATTATTTTATAAGGAAAAATTTATATAAAATAATATAAATACAATAAAAAATTACAACAAATTATAAAATAATATTACTCATACAGGCAGTAGTATTTCTTTGATCCATCATTATTCATCATTAATTCTCTTTTGAAATTTTATTAATTACTCAGATATAGCTGCTTATGTATATATTCCAAAAGTTGTCACTCATTATTAGGCCATTCAAAGTCCTTCACTAGGGGAAAAGATCTTAACCAATGGCAAGTATCAATTACTTTAAAACCGAGTTTATCAAATGTGGCTCGGGATGGTACATTTTTTTCACCGACTAAAGCCATGACGTCATCACCTAACTCTGCAATGCGACGTGATGTGGCACGTGTCACAAGACTACCTAAACCTAAACGCTGATGAGAATCTTTTACTTGTAGAGCACCCAAGAATCCACCTTGTAACCTAAAAATTAAATAAAAAATTTAATTATCATTGTTAATTAATTTATTTAATAAAATAATAATTTAATAAAAAAATAACTTTGTACAAAATAATACCTTAAACACCAGGCCACCAATTCATTCGTTTCTTCTACATAAACACCCATATTTGCGTTCCAAGATATTAAACGCCTTATCAGAAATAGGGAGCCTTGATGCTGATTTGGCCAGACGTTGTCAATTGTTTCAGCATCTGCAACCGATAAAGTTCGTAGAACATATCCTTGTGGACAACTATAATTTAAGTACATAAATATTTAATTATTACGCATATCAATAAATACATTTAAATAAATTAATTAAAATACAATAAGCTATTTTTCTAATTTATATAAATACAAATAATAAGTATTAGTTTGAATTATTAAATATAACTAAATATAATTAAATATAATATATATATTATTATATATTATATTAATCTCGAATGATAATTATCGAGATTTGATAGATGAAAACATTGCATTCAAAAAATTAATCGAAAACCGCGTACTAGGCTATACGTGGTGTGATGACATTTTTATGTTGCCAAAAGATCCATATGGTAGATTTGGACCCACTTTGGATTCAATACTGAATAGGAAAATATAGCATATATGGATAAAATTTTTTTTTATTAATATATTTTTGGTTATATTTTTTTGATTAATTTTATATTATATTTTATATTATATTAATTTCTTATTATATTAATTATATATATATATATATATTAAATTCTTATAGTTTCTTACTTAATATCCAACTGGAGTGCTGTGGCACAAGGCATATAATACATCACGGTTAAACTATCGTATTCCAATTCTAATTGTTTAGAATGCACTACGTCGAGTACAGCAGGTCGGTGTCTATTTAAAAAAGAGCTAACCTTATAGCCATGTTTCCAGTCCAGCAGTGATATTGCTTCCGTTAATAAATCATTATTCATTTTGCCATACAAGGAGTTTACAAAAAGCTGATAACGATCCTACAAAAATGTTTTCAAATAATTTTTTAATAATAATTTATTTATAATTTAATAATAATTTAATAATAATTGTTATTAGTTTTATAATACGAGTATGTACTATATTGTATATTTTTATATGAATTTACCACAACTAGAAATAAGCCATCACTTCGCCAGTCGTTGTTAAGTGTGTAAATATGTAGGTTTTTTATTTCTGGATCGCGTTCCAACCATGATATAAAGTTGTTTAAACAATAATAACCTACACAGTTATTTGGCCATTCTTTAAGATATAAATTTCGTAGTTCCTTCAGTTCATTGACATCTATTATAGCAGTGAGTTGGTCAGGCATTTCTGTAGTTAAATCTACCATAAGAAATGTGAGAAAATCTAATTATTTTACAAAATCCAGAAATTAACTTAAATAGTCCTCTTGTATATTATTCAGTGTTTCACTACATAATTATGTTGACCATTTCATATATTTCAAGTTGTACACAAGCAATATATTATTTCTAAATCCATATGGAAAATATTAGTTCTAATTTTAGTACTTTATATAAAATACTCTATCTTGACTAGTAGTTTAATTGATATTATATGAAGGATACGACTTTTTTGTGCTTTGAGTTACGAGTATACATTAAATAGTATGTATTAAATTATTACCTTTTAATTTATTTTTTATTAGCATTAACTCTTTTAATAGCATTAAATAGTTTAATTTTTTTTCTTTCCAATTAATTATTCATAATATAATATTTACATTTTATACAAAAAATATCTTTTTCAATACTCTAGCATCGAGGAACTATGTTACTCTTATGTGGGTACCGAGACACGAAGGGCAATGAAATAGCAGACTCCCTAGCAAAGAAGAGTTCATGTACTCCTTTCATTGGTCCAGAGCCCTTCTTCGGGATAGCAAATAGCTTCTCAAATAATTTATTATGTGAACGGGAAAAACAAAATCTACTTGAACACTAGAGAACCAAAACAGGCATGCGGAAGAAGATTCACTGATCCTGAACACATCAAAGTTGACGCCATCCTTAACGTTAGCAGAAACGATATTAAAATCTATACCGAACTTCTTACAGGACACTGTAGACTTAATTACCACATGGAGATTATAGGTGCGGTAGAAAGTGATTCTTGCTCTGTCATGCAACTTACATGCAACTCATTAAACTTTTAAGCGTATAAAGGAGAAGACCTCAAGCAAAATGTAACATAAATGTTCTGACAGAATATATATATGAGATCAATTAATATATTCTCTATATTTGACATATTCCAATTATTGCTCATAACTATGTGAGCACTAAAAATGTAACTACCAAAATTTTTTAAAAGCGAAATAATTCCATTTATTTACACTTCTAATATGAAATCTTATTTATGGTAGGAATGAATATTTCTGTTAAGAGGCACTAAATCGAGTAAGACCTAGTATACTTGCTGCCAGAATGAAACTTTAATATTTAAGCAGCTTGAATTTTTTCTATTGCACCTTTATAATTAAAAATAACTTTCTATGTTATGTCTAATAATGTCCCTGTTGATTTCTTAATATGAAACCTAGTATAAACTCATTCTCAAAATAGTGTGAAGAACTTAAATTAAATTAAATTTTAAATTAAATTAAATTTTATTAAATTTAAATAAAATTTTATAAATAAAGTATAATTAATAACTTTTATAATTGACAAACTGAGGTTTTATATTACTACATATATTTTTTTTAAAAAAACACATATATACACTGCCATATGTAGTGTTAAGTGTAGTTGGTATCTGAGCAGCTTAAGCTGATGATGGTGCACATCAAATGCATATAAAAAACAGATTTATATATGCTTTTTTATATGTACAAATATTTATATTACAATGTAAACATTTTTTGAAACAAGTGTTTTTTTCTTTTCGCTTTCATTAAAATGATGAGATAAAATTTTATAGTAATTCGGTAACATTTTGATATCACTTCGTTGATATTTTTTTACTAAATAAATACATTTGCATATTTTCGAATTTCATAATGAATTGTTTTAACTAAAATTGTAGCTTAACTAAACAGATACCCAGATACCCAATGTGTATTTAGATACGTTTTTAGTGGGATTGTTTTCGTAGATACACATATCTAGAACATCGATAAGGAAGTTCTTGATATGATTTAAATATTTACATGTCTTTATATTAAAGTTGAATTTTTTTATTTCCTCCAATAAATGTGTTTTTTTAATATTTTCTCTTTTAAATAGAACTTTTTTATTTTAGAATTGATCGTGGCAGATTCTTTTATTTAATAAATTGAAAAAACTTCAAAGAAAAACACTTAAATTATGAAAAAACACTTAAATTATGAAAAAATACTAACGCTAAAGCAGCTGTTAAATTTCGTACTGACTCGTAGAATCACCGCTTTAAGTGTTTATGAGAGACAAATGCTCAAGATCCATTAAAGAGTAAAAGAGTGAAAAGCGTAAAAGAGTGAAAAGCGTAAAAGAGTGAAAAGAGTAAAACATATGTATTGATCATTTAAGAGCAGAAACTCACTAAAATAACAGCTGATCGTTGTGGCAAGAGTAAAATATCTAATATATTTGTTTTTGTTTATGTGCCAATTTTTCAAGTTCATGTTTTTTCCTATAAAAATGTTTATGCTTTTAAAGCAGAGCAAGACATATATTTATGTGTGTATCTTTCTACACACATACATTATTTAAATATAAGAGTGAATAGCAATATATTAAACAGATATATTGTTGGAATGAATATTTGCTCTTACTTCTTGAAGTCGAGCATGTTGCGATAATATGTTATTTTTTTTCAGTTTGAACACAACTTTTGGATTGAATAGCTGAAAGAGCTGTTGTGTCGATTCAAGCAAAACGTATTATATTAATGATTAATAAAATAAATACAGTGAAACCTCCATAATTACAATCCCACGAAAAAAACCAAAACTCTTTGAAGTAATGGAAGTTTTGATTTACAATGATTTCGAATAACTGTGCTTAAAACAAAAAAAAAATATAAAATTATAAGGATTTGTTTATTTTTATAATATCTTATTTGTATTATATTTAATTTCTTATGTTAATCCATTATTAAGGGTATGTATAATATCTTCACATTATTATTATTTTTTATAATTAATTGTAATAATTAGTCCGCTAGCGTAAATTCATTAAATTGTTATATTAGTGCTTAGCAGAGTGACCCGCTAGTTTTCCAGTAAGCACACGAACTGTATATCTGCTAAAATCCAAAGGGTCAATCGTTATTCTCCTATTTAATCGAGTAAACTCGTAACCCATGCGATTTATCCATGAGTTATTTATCACCGCAATGGTGTATTCATTTCTCTCTAAATGAGTACTAATATTGACTATAAAAATAGTTCATAATCTTATCTTATGTTCCCTAATATGAAATACACATTGTCACATGATTCTAATACACATAATGAATTGCTTTAGTTATTATTGGTATTATCTTAAGAATATGGCTGTGTAATGACTTAAGCTTAATTTTTATATCCATTAAATATTAGTTTTATACATATATATTAAAAAAATAATTTAAGATAGTGTGTAAAACCAACTAAATTTAAAATTACTAAGTGTTTATCTGCAGTAGTCTAGAGAATTGAACTTATCTAAATGATAAATGCTGCTTTTTTTGAAAACCAAGAAGTAGGACACGCTATCTCAAGACCTTTGTGTACAGTATATTATTTACATTGGGGTTATTTAAGTTCAAATTGTTAAATGCCCATAAGCACACAATATATGTTCACTTCTAGATAAACGAATGTGAATCACTTTTAATTTTTATTAAAGAAGACGATATAATTTCTATTGTATATTCGATATTTAGTTTATTGGAAAGCATAAAGCAATAAATTTATAAACTGCACCCACTATTATATACTTTAATGTCATGACAAGGAAAATTAGGGAATTGTTAAGTTATAGCAAAGGCGAGAATCGATTTTAAGTGAACTTTAATATAGCACCTTTAACAATCTCTCTTTATAAATCTGTTACATTTAATAAAGCATTTAACAATCACAAAAGTTACTTTGTGACAAGTAGGCCGTCAAAGTTTTCTTCAACGCTCGTATAGAGATTATTTTATAATTAGTTTATAATTAACTTCTTCTTCAGAAATTTTGGATGTTGCAATCGAAATAGTTACAGAGTCAATTAAAATATTTTACATCCGTAGTTATTTGGTATAAAAATTTAATTAAAAAAAATAGCTCAGACAAAAAAAAAAAAATTTTAAAGTCAACAATCAGCCTCACTGGCAGTAAAACCCATTAAGATGAAATGCCATATCGCAACTCGTGCGCAATTAATCGCTGGTAATGTCTGTAAGAGAACAAACTCAGTTTACCAAAAATTCAATGAAATATTGGAATGATAGCCACTAAACTTCAGTTGTCGCTGACTAATGCAGATGAACGAACAAATAAACGAACTACTCCAATTTATATTGAAAGGGAGCCGCGAACATTTGGATCCTCCATGCATTTGAAAGAAGCAATTGCTGAAAGCTACAAAAAATTAATTGCCACACTTTTTTAGAACTTCCATGCAAACTGCGCACTTCAACCGACAATGGCAATAGAATCAATTGGAACTTGGACAATATGGATTTAGTTTTTTTCCGTTGCGTCGTACTATCCGTAACAGGCTACGTTGTGATATCGTAGTATTTAGGCACTTAAATTTTATTTTAATTTCTGTTGAGGTTTCAATTTTCGAATGGAAATGTTGACGATTGAAAGTGATGATTCTTGTCTCCGGAGTGACATCCGAATAAACAATGAAATGTGCAATTATTGAAAAAGTATCTAACGGACAAGTAAGCAATTCTATTCGATTGTTTTGCCACTAAGACATGCCGATTATTGATTTTCTGAGTACTTTTTTTGTTTGGATTTTTATTTCAAATGAAACACAAAAAGATAAACATTTTTTTTAGCAATAAAATTTTATGAGAAAAAAATTTTATAAACAACAATATTTTATGTATTCCATAGGTTATTTATTACTTTTTAGTGTAATTTGCCAAAATTTTAAATTATAATAAATGCGTTTTTTTCTTATTAAAATCATTTTTAATTTTTTTTCTTTTTATTTTGTAAATAAGTAACAACTTTGAACTTCATACCTTATGACGAAACCGACGAAAACCTTACATATGTGAACCACTTCAAGAATCGAAATACCATCGGTACAGAGATAAGCAAAGCTAGTGATGATATCTCATACTGCATAATCAAAACTATAGCCGTTTTTAATATGCTGCGTTTTTGCTGGTCTTTCTAGTTTTATTATATATTTATTTTATATATTTATTAGGACTCAATGCTTACTTCCGCGTTTAAAATGATTTTTAATGCAAAGACGAATAACTTTAAATATTTCCAAAAAAAAACACTA